GGTTGCTCGTTCACTCGGAGGCAAAGGCGCGGTCCTGCAATAACTTGCTCACGCGACTGCTGGCAGAAGCTGCTCGAGTGCTACAGCGAGACTTTGGCCTACTCTTCCAAACGTGCCAGCATGTCTTTGAATTGCTGAGAGTGCGCGCACTTTACCTACCCCTCGGTGGTTCCAGCACTTACCGATTGACGCCAGAAGTTGGCTCGCTGGCAACCGATCGCCCACCGCCATCTCACTCGTTGCTATTCCCGTCAACGTTACAGATTCCTCCACCCACGTCGAGGACTCGGTCTATCGGAATGTCGTCGACATTGTCAGCAGCCATGGTCGATCCACTGCTGGATGAAGGACCCCCCCCCCCCACCCCGCGGTGCTGCGATGAATAAGGAAGAAAAAGCATGCATATGCGTGGGTACTGTTTTCGGGTTGACAGCGTGCGTTTGTGTACAGAAGTCGGTAAGCCGATGGAGCGGCGATAAGTAAATTATTATCCATGCGTGAGATGTTTTTAAATCGCGAGAGAAAATGTAAATCAGTCCTGGCCTTATCTGCATTACACCTGCACGCGCGCCCTTCATTGATCCTGCAAAAGGCTCGCTGGATCTCGGCGCGAAACGTTGGCGAAGGGGTTTGATCTTCCACGATGCCTGCGCAGAGCGACTCACGACCTCCTCTTGATACCAAGATCCAGGATGGTCACGTCTATGCGCCGCTTCTCGGTGGCAGCCCCAACAGTATGGAACGATATACCTCTGCACATTCGTAGCATCACCTCAATCGCCTCCTTCAAGAGAGACTTAAAGACTCACCTCTACAACCACGTGCTTTCGAGCGACTCTGAGCTTGGCTCCGCGCCTCTGAGTTGCGGCCGTTACGTCCGCAAATTTGTGCGCATTATAAATTGCATTATTATTATAAAGGGCCACCTTAAACTGCGTCCGCACAAACCATGGTAGTAGATGCCTGATGCACAAATGGAAAAATAAAAACTCTCCATTGTGCAACTGTGATCATCCAGAACAGACCGCAGTTGTTGCTCTGCATCTACATCAGCCAAACGCATGAAGAAGATTGACCACGCTGCAGATCATAACTGCTCACGAACTCACCCACTCACACAACCACTCACTCAGCCACTTACTCAGCCACCCGCCCACTCGCCACACCACAGGTCTCAACACTATTCATTATACTCTTTGGATCTTTCCGTAAAGTCACGTAGGTATGAAATAAAATAAAACTATTATTTATGCTTCCTCCCTCGCACTGCTCGACTGTAGAATCCCATCCCATCGTCTCTCTCCCCCCTGCCCCCCCCCCCCACTAACCTTGCTCAAATCCAGATAGCTACTACAATGACTCTTACCTACTACAGCTTCGACAGTGCTGATGGTTGCTGGCTGCTTGGCATTGTTGGGCCTGTGGCTAAGCAACCTTGATTTTAAAAAAAGGATTGCAGTACTTCTCGATTTAAAGCTTTCGTGACTGCAGGGATTCATATTATTGGTTCTTTCGGTAAAGTCACGTAGAAGGAAAATAATAAAAATTAAAATTAAACATAATAAAATACAATTATTTTATTATGTTTAATTTTTATTATTTTATTATTTTCCTTCTACGTGATTTTACCGAAAGAACCAAGAAGATTGCAGTACTCTTACTGACTGCCATGTGACTAATCCTGGCACACATACAGCCCAAGAGATAAGCTGACAACCGGGCATTATACGCATTCGACATGAATTACGCATTACGTTTAAATATTATGCGGAATAACAGGCGTATCAATATAGGTGCAGAGCTTGAGTTCGCCACGACAGTAAGTTCAAAGTAACACTGCGGCTAAAATATGGAGAGTGGAGCTATGAATGCATACTCACGTTAAGTTGGCATTAAAGAGTCGCACAATGTTTATCGAAATTATTCAGGATATTTCTGAATTTGTGTGGGATGTTTTTTCTTATCCCCTCGAAATACTTTTTTTTGACTCGTATCGTGTTAAAACTGGAGGGTGAATTACTAAATATGTCCCAAAAGTTAATCCGGATCACTGCATTACGTTTCACACGCACACGACCGGCCGTGAAGAACCGATGTCCATTATTGTGATGTTCCAAAAGGAAGCCAAAATGCAATCTTGGAGGAGAGGGCTCTATAACGTCATCCCTTCCTCCTGCAGTGGCGAGCAGCACGCGGTTGCAGGGTCGCACCTTTACCCTACTTGTACCAGAGGTCGCAACCGGGTACCCGATACCCGTACCGTACCCGATACCCAGCTACCCGTACCCGGCCGGGTACGGGTACCCGTTTGCGACCCTGGTGCGGCCGGGTACGGGTACGGGTAGACCGTGAGTCACTGGTGAGTAACTGTTTGTCACTCATTTCCCAACGTCTTGTCTCTTCTCACAATTCAAGTTAATAGAATCAACCCACCCGCGCCTGCAACATGGCTTCATCCCAGAGGTCGCAATCAGATACCCGATACCCGTACCCTACCCGTACCCGGCCGGGTACGGGTACCCGTTTGCGACCCTGGTGCGGCCGGGTACGGGTACGGGTAAGGAATCAAAACCCGTTTGCGACCTCTGACTTGTACAGACAAAAACGATGCTGAATAAGATGACGAACGATGCGAGTGAAAAGAATCGCCGGCAATGTTCCAAAGTTGTCGCATCAGCGATGTTTTTTTCGCTTGTGGCATGCAGATATCATGAAGGCCCCGTACGGTTTTGGTTAATTGTGACACTGTACGTATTTATGTTGAAATGGATACAAATAATTATCCACGCCAACTTTTTGGTTATTTTCTTTTAATGTGTATAAAAATTAGGCGGCCATTTTTTTTTTAAAGTGGGCGCGTATAATGATGATTACACATCGTCGCTAAAATTAGAGCCCACTTGTTGTGCTCCTTGCATTGTCACCGCCGTAGTTCTGAGTCATCGTTCAGCCGACACGGCATGGCACGGAACGGCATGACACGGTATTCTTAGGTTTTTTCCGGTAAAGTCACGTAGGTAAAAAAAATGTAATTAAAAAAAGCAAAATAAAATAAAATAAAAATAAAAAAATCACGACGTTTCGGAGGCAACACAAGCTTCCGTCTTCAGGTGGAACCGTCAAAGCACGATAGCTGCATCAAGTAAATGAGTGTTGCCTCCGAAACGTCGTGATTTTAATTTTATTTTTTATTTTATTTTACTTTTATTAATTTAAATTTAAAAAAATTTACCTACGTGACTTTACCGAAAAAACCTAAGAATATGAATCCTTGCAGTCACGAAAGCTTCAAATCTAGGCATGAAACGGCGTGGCACGGCATGGCACGTATCTCGTGGTTTTCTTCTTTACTATACGGGGGGTGGGGAAGGAGGGAAGGAATTCGTGGCACGAGTGCGAAATGCGGAGAAGGAGCCGCGCGCTTCAAGTAAAGCGGCTCCCACAAGACGCCACGGTCAAAGCTGTTGTTTTTTTTAGTAAATTGGGAGTTCTTTGTTTCTGCAGCAACATTTTCCGTAAAAATATTCAAATATGGTTGTGTGCATCCGTTTTGAATTTTTGAATGTATTCATTGATATATATTTGTTATATATACGCAGTACATCACAACATCCACACTTTCGATGTATGTGTCAGATCTGATTTCGTCACGTCTCATGAGCCAAAACGTCAGGTTACATATATCCATTGTTTCCCTTTTAAGACCACACACAGCGTTGTTATTTACGAATGAGATAAATTGTTAATTCTGCTTCGTGCACCGCTGCCAACGCAGCAGCAGCATCACCAAATCATCGGATTTGTATTGGGCAAAGTCCCTAATAGCAGCAACACGTCGTATTAAAATCGATTTAAACTGGGTTATCTTTACGAGTTAACGTGACCCCCCCTTGCGCCCCCCCCCCCCCTCTTTATAGTCAGATGGACAGAGCTAGAGCAGTAACGATTTGAAGCGGAGTTTGACACGGTTAACATATAGAATAGATACAAGTGCATACATGACTATTCTAACCGTCGGGGGAGTTTGAATTCCTCGTGGAATATTTTCCGGGGTGGCCAAAAAACCAACCGTGACCCTATCTCCTCCTCAAGTTCAAAGTTCATTTATTAGTTCAAAGTTCATTTATTAGGTATAGCCCTGTGAGCCATTCGGCTCTTGAATCGAGTGCAACTGCAACAAACAAAAAAAACATGAACAAGAAAACATCTTAAAGTGACTATGTGCAAACAGAAAATCAAAGAAAAGACAGAAAAATATTGCAGAAAAATCACCGTACACCAACCTTGTGCAAATATCCCAGTGGGATACAAGTCAACAACAACAACCACAAGACAACTTAGATTAAGGCCATCAGTCTAACTCTGTACTACAACAAACAAACATGACCAAACCAAAAACAGCTGGGGCGGAGTATATTTTTAAATCCTTTATATTAAGTTAACTTGCTTGCTTGCTTGCGTGCTTGCGTGCTTGCTTGCTTTGCTTACGACCGTGCAAATCTTTCGGTCGTTTTTTAACCCACTTCCCGTGATCCAATCGAGCTGATATTTTGCACACAGACTCGTTGTGCGAGACAATTAATGTTCGTGAAAAAAATATCCAAAATGTAACACTGTTTAGGGAAAAAATTTAATATTTAATTACCAATTGCTTAATGATGGCAGACAATCATCTGACCCATAGGTGGCAGCCATCTCAAGCCAGAGGACGAGAGGACTCTAGCCGCCACGCATATAAAGGATTTATAGTGAAAAACTTTGTTTTTACGGGTTAATTTTTCTGGTCATCAGTCCCGGGCAGCTCCTGGTTCCGATGTGCATCGGCTTTAAACCACCGCGCCTGGGATCGCGCGATCGTAGACATGACTACGCTGCCCCCTGTAGTAAGAGATGGAGGCAGCGTCAGAATAAAAATAAGAAGGGGAATGAGAGCGAGAGAGAGAGAGTGGGAGGGGGGAGAGCGAGTGAGAGAGAGAGAGAAACACACACGAGCTCGTTGTGATGTGCGGGAGAAGAACCCAGACGCCTCTACTGATGGAGGCTTCTTGCAGCGCTCTCTCTCTCTCTCTCACACACACACAAATATACAAAGACACGCACACTCGAGTGAAGCTTAATGCATTGATCCACACTGATCAGCTGTAGAAGCTGTAGCAGCAGCAGTTATCACTGCTTTCATCAGCAGCAGCCGCAGCAATATCAGCAGAAGCTGTTGCAGCAGTGATATCATCCACGCCATCGGCAGCATCAGCAGCAGCAGCAGCAGCGACAATTGAAGAAGCAGGGGTATCATCAGCAGCAGTAGCAGCAACCATCAGCAACACCATCATCATAATCAGCAGTTGAAACAATCATTATCATCGATATGTTCAGCAGCAGCAGCTAGAATCAGCAGCAGCATCGGCGCTTCGTCGTGGGGTGTTCTGTCAGTGACAGTTCCCGGCAGATGCCTCTGTCTCGTGCAAGGTTCAGCAAAGAGGGACAACAGGAGGCGCAGGACCGTTCCTGCTGAAGGTAAGGTGATACGGTCACCACGAGCCTAAGCAGGTGAGAAGCCTGGTCAATCACCGTGCACGTGGCGAGCGTGGGGAGCGGTGGCGCAGCGGTTAGCGCGCTGACCGTACGAAACCGGCGACGCTAGTTCGATTCCCGCTCACGGTCAACATCGGTGATGATTCTATCTGAAACGGTCCTGGGCCTCCCCCGGGTCGACTCAGCCTAAAACGAACACCTCAGTGCTATGTGCGTGAACATCGGCACTGGGAAGACAAAGGCAGCCGGGGAGTGGTACTACTGATCCACGCCAAATCGCTTATCGTGCGCCGGTCCGGCTTTCTTAGGTGCTATCCGCTAACAGCACTTGCCCCGCGATCGCCTTTGTAGGCTATACGGGGGATCTTTGCTTTTGCAGTGCAACATCGCTGTTCGTAATAGGGGGCGGTGTGTGTGTGTGTGGCTTATTGCTGCCAAGCAGTTCACACCTTTGTTGCACTGGGTTGGTGTATTAATAGTACCCGCTGCATCGTAGCCAAGGGGATGATGAGTGGTGGAATTCAAATTACAATGATTTCCTGTTGCTCTGTTCATCGGCGTCTGTGTGTCTTGCGATGTGTGCAACGCTGCGCTAAGAACCCCGCTGCCCGAGTTCGATTCCCGCTCACGGCCAACGCCAGCGACGATTGTCTGAACCGGTCCTGGGCCTCCCCTAGGTCGACTCAGCCCCAATTGAGAACCTAGTGCAGATGTGTAAACTAACAGCAATTCATAGAGGTACTCGCTAACAGCACTTTCCCCAACAGTCTGTTACAGGCTGTATGGGGGATCTGTGTCTTTGCATGCACGTGGAAGCGATGCATTGTGACAATTCTTGTGAATTCTTGCACCCATATAATGTATACCGTAAACATCTGCAGATGTGTGAACATCTGCAGATGTGTGAACATCTGCACTAGGGAGACAAAGGCGGCCAGCCACTCTCTCGTGTGCCGTGCCAGAATTCATAGAGGTACTCGCTAACAGCACTTGGCCCAACAGTCTGTTGAGGCTATACAAGCGGGATCATTGCCTTTGTCTTCGACGTTGCACGTGAGATGCCCAATAGCCCGCAAGAATGGTTATCAGTGTAACCATGACAGCCAATGTGATTTGATTATTCCACAGAGATGTGTGTGTGTGTGGTCATGCGCGTATAAACTACGAGGATGTCTCACTCCCACAGTTTCACATGCGCGCGTGTGTGTGTGTATATACTCCGCAAGAATGGTGAGCGTTATCATCGCAGCATTGCCATGTGATTCTTTATTGTGCAGAGGCGTGCATGGTTGCCGACGTGCAGCTGTGAAGCGAGACGCCGCTCGGTGGATTCCACTGTTCAATCTGTATATGACTGCGTGCATGTACAGAATGTGTGTATAGAATGCACATTAACGCATTGCACGCGCACACACATGCACAGTATAATACGTGTGTGTATATGCATTTTTCAAATGAATACCTGGTGCAAACATTGCTACTGGGAAGACAAAGGCGGTCGGGCGTGGTGCTGGCCAACCTCTCCCCCCCCCCCGCACTTTTGTGTACCCTGACGGCCTTTATAGAGGTGCTCGCTAACAGCACTTGCCCCAACAGTCTGTTACAGGCTGTATGGGGGATCTGTGTCTTTGCATGCACGTGGAAGCGATGCATTGTGACCTTTCTTGTGGATTCTTGCACCCATATAATGTATACCGTAATATCATGCATTGCAATAATGTAGAGTATACATTTGTACTTTACAACTAAAACAACCTCAACGCATTCGTCAATAACACCGTGGTTTAAACATTAAAAAAAATATATAACAGGCGACGTTTCGGGCAATGGCCCTCCTTTACAGCACATAGGCCAGAGGTAAGTCGTCGTAATTGAATGCCTAATTAAAATAATTGAATAATTATAATTGTGCATGTGTATATGCTACGTTTGAGATTACAACACACACTACAATACAGTACTTTATATATTACAAACTAGTACATCACACGTAATGCTAGCGACATTCAAGGCTATTGCTCCTTTACTATCAGGGTCGCTCGTCCACTGCAGTCGTGAGCACGTGGCCAGAGCGAGGGGTATCCTGAACGTGGTGTGCCGAGGGAGTAGTCGGTGAGTGACACCTGAACGGTCACCGACCCAGACAGATCCGACTGAGACACAGCCGCGGGGCATCTCATATCCAGTCGCGTGCTGCATAACCGAGCGCACACTCGCGCGCTTGCGCGTGTTGAGCAGTGGTGCACATCCGAAATGCGCGACGAGTGCCGTGGAAGTCAAAGGTTCAGCCCTGCAATGACTTGCTCACGGCAGAGGTCGCAAACGGATTTTGATTCCTTACCCGTACCCGTACCCGGCCGCACCAGGGTCGCAAACGGGTACCCGTACCCGGCCGTACCCGTACCCTACCCGTACCCGGCCGGGTATGGGTATCGGGTACCTGATTGCGACCTCTGGGATGAAGCCATGTTGCAGGCGCGGGTGGGTTGATTCTAGGAACTTGAACGGGTATCGGGTACCCGATTGCGACCTCTGGGATGAAGCCATGTTGCAGGCGCGGGTGGGTTGATTCTAGGAACTTGAATTGTGAGAAGAGACAAGACGTTGGGAAATGAGTGACAAACAGTTACTCACCAGTGACTCACGGCCTACCCGTAACCGGCCGCACCAGGGTCGCAAACGGGTACCCGTACCCGGCCGGGTACGGGTATCGAGTAGGGTACGGGTATCGGGTACCCGGTTGCGACCTCTGGCTCACGGCCGGCGCTGGTGGAAGGGGCCACCTACACACGAGGAGTCGGTGTTTGGCCGACTCGTCCACGATGGCCAGACGTATTGGAAGGGGGTGAGAGCACACACGTTTCACCCCCCACCGCACCGTTCGACTGCGCGTTGTCCACCAATGCTGCTGGGTGGACAACAAGCTGCGAGTGCGTCCAGCGTTACGGAGCTAAACCATCGCCACCGTTCGCCCGCACTGAATAATGCGAAGCTAAAAATAGCCGTCGTGGGTAAACACTGCGAGCGGAACTCAAACGAGCAGCTGTTGCTGCACCTGATGAATTCAGCGACCTCCGAACCTGCACACGCCACGTAGACAAACACCTCCTCCCCCCCCCCATGGCATTTAAAAGGCTGCTGGGCAAGTGCTGTCTCCTCAGTCCCGGCGTTTTATATATTTCACCACACCCAACTACTCATTTGAGGCTAAGTCGGCCTAGGGGAGGGCCCAAGATCGGTCCAAACATTCGCCACTGTTCTTCTTGGTTCTTTCGGTAAAGTCACGTAGAATGGAAACAATAAAAATAAAACATAATAAAATAATTATCACGACGTTTCGGCCACAACGCAAGCAACCGTCCTCAGGTGAAGACCAGGTCTGTCGGGGGGTCTTTACCTGATGACGGCTGCTTGCTTGTGGCCGAAACGTCGTGAGAATTATTTTATTATGTTTTATTTTATTATTTTTATTGTTTCCATTCTACGTGACTTTACCGAAAGAACCAAGAAGATGAATCCCTGCAGTCACGAAAGCTTTAAATCGAAATTCGCCACTGTTGTTGGTTGTGTGCGGAAATCGAACTCGGTTCGCCGGGTTGAATGTGATAACCACGACACCTCCTGTAACACACAAAGACAAAGATCCCCCTATAGCCTTAACAGACTTTTGGAGCAAGTGCTGTTAGCTAGCGAGCACCTATGAAGGCCGGCACGGCACACGAGGGGTTGGGTGGCCAGCACCACGCCCAGCCGTATTTATCTCCCCAGTGCCGATGTTTCCAAAGCGCGCCAGGTACTAATTTGAGGCCGAGTCGACCTAGGGGAGGCCCAGGACTGATTCAGATACTCGTCACTGGTGTTGGTGGCCTTGAGTGGGAATCAAACTCGGGTCTCTGCCGAGTTCGTAGCGCAGCGCGCTAACCGCTACACTACCGCTCCCCACCCTGTAACAAAGACAAAGATCCCCCGTACAGCCTGTAACAGAATGTAGGGGCAAGTGCTGTTAGCGAGCACCTATGAAGGCCGGAACGGCACACGAGGGCGTGGGTAGCCAGGACCACGCCCGACCGCCTTTGTCTCCCCAGTGGCGATGTTTACACATCGCACCAGATACTCATTTGAGGCTGAGTCGACCTAGGGGAGGTCCAGGACCGGTTCAGATAATCGTCACTGGTGTTGGCCGTGAGCGGGAATCGAACCCGGGTCACCAGGTTCATAGCGCAGCGTAGCGCTAAACGCTACACCACCGCACACGCACAGACACACACGCCCACACAGACACACATGCACACGCACAGACACACACACGCACAGACACACAGACACACACACGCACAGACACCACAGACACACACACACAGACACACACACACGCACAGACACACACACAGACACACACGCACAGACACACACACATACACACACACAGCACACACACAGCACACTGACAAGACAGCGTTTCTGGCCGAGAGCGCTGCATGTCAATAGGGAGCGTCTCGCAGCCAATGCTGAGGACACTCGAGAGAGAGAGAGAGCGGAGCCCGTGCACGTGGTCACCGCAGTACAATCAATGTTCACCATGGCGCAGCACGCGCACAGTACTATGGTTATTGGTGTTATTATTCAAAAGTCCCATGAATCCCTCGTGGGTTCGGCGTCTTAGATTTTATTTCTCCACGAGCTTCAATTCGGTGCCTCTTCCCTCGTCACATCCACGACGATCCTCGTACCCCGTTCCACATCATCCCCCCATCCCCCACCCCCTCGGTCACCCTCCACTCCTTTGTGCGTTGCACGAGTGGCGCCTCCACAGCCCTTCTAATCTACGAATCTCTGCGTGAGTCCATGGGTCACTGCGTGAGTCTATGCGTCTCTGCGTGAGTCTATGGGTCTCTGCGTGAGTCTATGCATCTCTGCGTGAGTCTATGGCTCTCTTGAATCTATGGGACTCTGTGTGAGTCTATGGCTCTCATGAGTCTATGGGTCTCTACGTGGGTCCATGGGTCGCTGCGTGA